AAAGAAGGGAGGGGAAACAAAAAAAAAGGAGAGGAAAAATATTTTAAAACTACTCAATTCACTTTAACTCCACCAAAATTTTCATCATCTTTTCCAATTTCTTTGCGTCACATTTTATCAATATCATCAGCATCTTTTTCTCTCCCCACCCTACCACCACCACCATCCAACACCACTACCACCACCACCATCATCATCATCATCATCATCATCATCATCATCATCATCATCATCATCATTATCCTGACCACCACGACTTCCTCCCGAGGAACCCGGCACCCGCCGAGAGAAAGAGCGAGAAGCCGGGCGCCCCTTTCAATACGTGAACACCAGGTCGGAGAAGTTCGCCTCCAGCCTGTCCCCCGCGATCATCTCGCTCAGCTCCGGCGTGCAGTAGTCGAGGAACTCGAAGTGGGAGCCCAGGCTGCCTTCGCTGAACGAATCCAAATCTTTATCCACAAGCGACAGGGACAGGTTCCCCGCCGCCGCGCCGCCCCCCAGCTGCTGCTCGCCGGCGCTGTGCGCGCTTTGGGAGAAATTCAAGCTCAGGTCGAACATCAGGTCGTCGGCGTCCTTGCTGCTACTGCTGCTGCCGCTGCTGGACGAAGACCAAGTGGAGACGGAGCGCGCGGATGCGGGCGACAGCGCGGGCTGCGCGAGCTTGGTGATGTTCTTGAAGCTGCAGTAGAGACGGCTGCCGCCCCCAGCGCCGGAGGTCGCGCCTGCCCTCACCTCGTCGTAGAGACTCGCGCCCTCGGGGGACTCGGCCGAGCTGCTCGGGCACTTTGGCGACGTCGTAGCGTCTCAGCAGCTGTGGCGGCTGTTGCCCGGGTGGCTGCAGGAGTTGCTGGTGCGGCGGCTCCTGGTCCTCCTCGTCCACCTCCTGCTTGATCCTCAGCTGCAGCTCCTCTTCGTCCTCGTCGTCGTCCTCATCTAGAAACACGCACTTGACCGTCTTGCCCGCGCCGGCACCGCCCGCGCCGCTCACGCGCAGGCTGCCCAACAACAGGTAGTCGCCATCGCTGCCGTAGTCCCCCGGCTGGGCCGCCTTGCCTGCTCCGCCTCGCGGATGAACGGGATCTTCCTGTTTTTATTCTTAATAGCTGCCATTCTGACGGAAGTACTTTGGTTAGCATTTTTCTAATTGTTATGGATGTTGAACATTTGTCATATATTTGTTGGTAAATTGTGTATCTTCTTATGAGAAGTGTCTGTTCGGCCCCTTATCACATTTATTGATTAGTTTTGTTTGTTATTTGGTGTTAAGATTTTTATGTTCTTTATCTATGGGTGCTCTATCTGACGTGCCTGTGGCAAAAATTTGCTCCCCAAAAGTAAGCTGTCTCTTCACCTTATTTATTTTTTTCTTTTTCTGAGAGGAACATTTATAGTTTGAATCCATCCCATTTATTGATTCTTAATTTTATTTCTTGCTCTTTAGGAGTCTTGTTAAGAAAGTCAAGCCTAATTTGACATGAAAATGATTTGGGACTACTTCTTTTCCTATTAGGTTTGGGGTCACTGGTCTATTTACTAGGTCCTTGATAAACTTTGTTATGTATCGTATATGGTTAGAGATAGGGGTTTAATTTTATTTTGTTCCTATGGATTTCCAGTTTTCCCAACACCATTTGTTGAAGAGGCTATCTTTTTGCCAATGTATGTTCTTTGTCACTTTGTCAAATATGAGATACCTGTATTTATCTAAGTTTGTCTCTCTGTCTTCTATTTGGTGCCATTGATCCACATGTATATTTTGGTGAAAATACCATGCTTTTTTGTTACTATATCTTTGCAGTATAGATTAAGTTGTGTATTGTGATGCCTCTTGTTTCACTCTTCTTCCTAAGAATTGCTTTGGCTATTCTGGGTCTCTTAATTTTCCAAATGAATTTCATGATTGCTTTTTGTATTTCTATAAGAAATAATGTTTGGATTTTAATTGGAATTACATTGAATCTGTATAGCACTTTGGGTTGTATGGGCATTTTGACAATTTTGATTTAGCTTATCCAAGAGCATGGGATACTGTTTTTTTTTTTTTTTTTTTTTTGAGGCTCCTGTGAATGGGATACTTTTCATAATTTCTCTTTCAGAGGATTTATCATGGATGTGTAGATATGCATTTGGTTAATGGGTATTCATTTTATATTCTGCTACTTTGCTGAATTTATTTATTAAGTCTAGAAATTTTCTGGTGGATTTGTTTGGATCTTTTTAGTATAGAATCTTGTTATTGGTAAACAATGGTAGTTTGAGTTCTTTTTTTTCCTGTGTGTATTTCTTTAATTTCTTTTGTCTATCTAATTTCTCTGTCTAGAATTTCAAGAACTATGTGAAATAGAAACTCTCTTCAAGGATATATATATATTTTTTTCCAAGGTGAAGAAGGCTGTTTTTTATTTAAGGACCCCACGTGAAGTTCGGGAATAACGCGTAAACTGTGTGCATACTGTCCAGCTCCCCAGGGGTACAGGGAGCAGACACGCTGTAAACACCACCTGTCGTTCCTTAGTGAGCTGTGTAGGCAGACCCCCGAGTCCCAGGACACCCAGAACTTGAGCTACGGAAGAGGCAGCCTCGCGTGGACTGTCCACTTGTAAATGCTCTACTCTCCTCAAACTCCTCTGAGTTCTGGTTTTCATTTGACCAGTGACTTAAACAGCTATTATGCAGCCAGTGGTCACCATCAGTGACAAATAGCAGTATTGGTTTTTTAATGGTCATTTAAACTACCTCGTGGTTTCCGTGTGTCACGCACACACTCATTTAGTGTACCTGTACGTGGACCTTTAGTGTCTGGGGGGTTTTTAGGATGAACGTGGAGTATGCGACTTAAGTCCTGTAATTTGACCCACCAATGAAGTGACTTCCTGGCAAGAGAAGAGCACAGCCTCCCTCATAACTAGTGTCAGAATCCTGCAGCTGCGTGCCCAGCGCCCCCTGGCAGCCCTGAAACACTCCTGTTCTGACCCCGTGCTGGCCTGTCACTCGGGTGACACCTCTCAGAGGTTCGGCACTCGCTGGAGTCCCAGCCTGAATGTGGCCGAGACCCAGGGCCTGCCAGGCACCAGCAGGGCAGTGGTGACAGTGGCTGGAGTGGGGTGAACCACTCCACAGAGGGCACGGGGTCCAGCCTTCTGTGCTTGGGATGAACTGGAGTGCTGGCCCCGGGTCTGGTGGCTCTGAACTGGACCAGGTGCAAATAAAGATTGGTGTTGCCTCTGAAGCGTGTGCAGAAACAGTCCTTTGGTCATTCCCGAGCCACAGAGGGGTCGTCTGCCCTGGGCACCGCCTGCTGTCAGTTACTGAGGTGTCTTTTGACTGATCTTTCTCTGGGGAAGACGCTGCAGGCCTGACCTACGTGAGGTCTGAGTGGACGTCAGGCCAGAGTCCCCAGCTGGCGCCATGTGAGGGCGGTGTCATTACTCAGCAGGTCTGAGGTGGTCACGTTGTCACTTTGAAGACGGGCAAAACAGAACCCTTCTGAGAAAATTCCCTTTGGTGCAGTGAATGACCTTGACAGGCCACAGCACTGGAGCTGACATTGGGCGGCTGCATCCTCAAACCCTGGAGATTCCTGTGGTCAGGGCCAGTGGACGCCTGGCCACTTCTGCACCTGTAATGGGTTTCTGCTTGCTCCCCAGGGCTGCCTTGCTGACCGAGGGGGACACAGGGACATGGCTTTGTGTGTGGCCTTTCTAGCTTGTGCTGGGTGTCCAGAGGACAGCAGGACAGAAGCCAAGGGCAGAGGAGGTCACTGGCTGACAGTCCAGTGTGGACCCTGTGGCTGGAAGTCCCCACCAGGCTCCTTAGAGGGGCAGGTAAAGGGGTGTTGGCATGAGGCAGGGCATCTGGAGTGGTTTTCCAGCTGGGGACTTAAACCTAGCGGGTCGACCCCACCGAGGAAAACCAGTCTGCCAGGCCCAAGGCGCTCTGGGAAAGTGGGTGTCGGGCAGCTCTGAATTTTGTCCAGCCCCTGGACAATCTGATCCCGCTGAATCCCCAGCTGCAGCAACTGTGGGAGGGGAGCAGGGTGAGGTCCCAGGGCTGCCCCTAGTGACAGAGCTGGGGCCAGGCCCTGAGCTGCCCTGAGACACTCCTCACAGGAGTGTGGGTCTCCCCGGCCCCCAGGAGGGTGTTCCACTCAGACTGGCTGCGACTCTGACCTACCGGGCCGGGAGAGGTGGCCTTCACCTGGAGGCTGCTGCTGGCCAGGAATGCCTCCAGGGAAACGCACACCTGCCCCAGATGCTCTGTCACCTTGGTGTCCCCCATGCACCCAAGCCAGGCCCTCAGGCACTCTGGGCCCCTCCAGCATGGGTCGTCCACAGACCCGGGCATCTTTCCTTGACTCCGTCCCCGCGGTGCCGGCTGCTGAGGAGCTGGCCGCAGCTCAGACAGGGAGAGAGCAGAGTGTCCTCCGGGAGGAGCAGCCCACCCCACAGTGCTCCCCCGCGGCCACCACCTCTGCGGGAGCACATCTGCCCTATTCCTCACCCACTGCGGGGTCCCCTGGGTCTTATGCAAGGACCACACCTTCCAGGGCCTGCTCTGTCCCCAAGTCCTGCCAGCATGGCCGGAAGTGACCCGCTAGTGCTGTGGCTCGGGACGGGCTGGTGTGGAAGAGGGAGTGGAGGAGAACCAGGAGTGGGATTTTGGGGTTTGGGTTTCTTTTTGTACCAGGGATTGAACCCGGGGTGCTTAGCCCGAGCCCCATGCCCACCGGCCCCTCTTCTCAACACTATTTGGAGACGGGGTCTCACTGAGTGGCTTAGGGCCTTGCTAAGTTTCTGAGGCTGGACTTGAACCTGTGATCCTCCAAGCAGGAGCATTTGAATAATAAATAAAACCCCGGTGACAGTGGGGAGCTTCCTGGGGACCTCAAGTTCATCCAGACACTTCCTTGGCGCCTGACCCCCAGGCTCCCTCAGGCCCTCTGTCCTGACCCAGCCGTGGCGGGGCGCCCTCAGCACAGAGCTGCGCCTCGAGCTCACGCCAGGTCTCGGGGCCACAGCCACCCGCCTGCTGCCCTGCACCCGTGGCAGTGGGACCGCTGGGGGACAAGCCTGTCAGGTAGCCAGCAAGGACACCATCTCCCCCACCCCTGCTGGGACCTGGGCAGCAACGGACGGGGGTGTGTGTGGGGGGGCTGGAAAGGAGACTGCCCCCCCCCCAGTGACACACAGCGGGCACCAGGTGCAGCAGGCCCACCCTCGGGTTCTCCCTGTAGCCAGGATGGCACTAGGCGTGACCAGGAGTGGCACAGGACACTACCTGGACTCCTGCACAGGTGACATGCGAGGCACCTGGGAGTCGGCTCAGGCGCTCTGCCCTTCCAGGGCTTCAGGGAGGTGACCACAGGCCTCAGGGCCCATGGCTCCTGCCACCCCTGCCTGTGCCATAGGCTCCCTGTGACTCTAGGTGTCAGGCACGTCCCTGATGAAACCACACAGAATACGAGTCCCATGGGCACAGCAGGCCCCTGCGGGATGAGTGGGTCCAGTCAGCGGAGCAGACGGCAGCCTCCTCAGTATCGTTTCTTTGCAACATGTCCCCAGTTCAGAAGGATGACTCCAGAGTTGTGACACACAAAGCCATTTGAGAATTGGGGGACGTCTGTCATGTGAGAATGTGGTGACATCAACTTTACATAACCCCACCGAGTGCTCACATCCTGAGGCAGGGACAAATCTTTCCTCAAGAGCAGTCACCCTGCACACTGTCATGTCACGTCAACCTTGGTGTGCCTGACACTCCCTGGACTTGTGTGATGAATAACCTGTGCAACCGTGCTGGGCTCTCTCGGACACTGGCTGATGCCTGTGCAGCAGAGCACCAGGGAGGAGGGTGTGGAAGTCTCTGTGGTGAGGCCGGAACCCTCAGGATGCAAACTGGGCAGAACCTGTCGTCCTGGTGGTTCTGGAGAGTGGGAGTGAATGGGACCCCAGAGAACCTTCCAGTAAGAGGGAAAGGTGGACAGAAGGCCTCAGAGGTGGGAACACCCTGTGGAAAGGGGGAGGGGACTCTGTGACCGTTAGGACACACCCAGCCCTGGGAGTTGACGGAGGATCCCCTCCTCCCCGGGAGGCACAGGCACCTCATGAACAGTGTCCCCAGGGCTGGCAGTGCCCAGCCGGGGACGCCACAGTGGGCCTGTGGAGTGCGTCCTTCAGGGACCGGCAGAGTGCTAAGGAGGCAGAGGGGCACCTCACGTAAGCAGATTGGAGAAGCAAAGCCCCTGGACAGGGGCTTCCCCATCCCGTCGTGCCACCGGCTACTTCCAGCAGGCGGGGCTGCGGTCCCACCCAGAGAAGAAGGAGGCAGAGACGCGGTGGAGGCTGAGGCTCAGGCCTGGGGCCCAGGCTTCAATTGCAGTGGGAACCGCAGCACGGGGTCGGGGAGATGGTCTCTAGAGGTCTAGTCCCTGCGGATACCCAGCCACATTAAAAGCCGGTCCAGGAAGGTGATAGCCCGAGACAGCCAACTGTCGCTGGGAGGAGAGGGAGGGGACAATTAGAGCTGAAGGTCCCTCAGAGCTCCGTCTCAGGGAGGGCAGGTGGGGACAGGTCTCAGGCTGGTCACACTCCTGGCCACAGCAGAAGGCCCCAAGGGAGAGGGGGCCAGGGCGGCCACCAGTCAGCTCCCCTCCTGTCCTGCCCACGATGCCAGGGGACACCGAATGGCTCCTGAGGACACGCAGCCACCCAGCCGGCACAGGGGTCCCGGGTGGGCTCCAGCTGGGTGACAGCGGACCCCTCCCTCCGGGGATGAGACGCACACGGGCTGCCCCACCCCGGGTGCAGGCTGTGGCAGGACAGGAAGGCAGGGGCCCTCTGTAAGAGAAGGGTCTCCTCTGCCCTTCCTCTGCCCACTGGGCTTGGGATGGACCAGAACGGGGCAGGGAAGTCCCTCTGGCAAGGCCCGAGCACGTCTGCTGTGGCCATTATAGCCTTGCACCGTGAGTTCTCCACTGGAAGCCAACTGGCCGGTCCCAGGTGGGGACAGCGCAGCCCATGAAGCTGGCTGGGAAGGGGTGGGTGTGTCGCTCTCCACTGGCTGGGGATGTGCGGCGCCGGGTAGGCAGGGGTCCTCGACTGCCACATTTTCCAGAGTACCACGCAGGGAACCGTCCTGGGGTTTCCGTCATGGTCAGAGTACTCGTCACCCAGGAACTCTTCACAGTCATGCAGACTTGGTGAGTGGGATAGTGTTAGTTTTTGATTGTCTTCTGCTTTTCAGGGCCCGGAGTCTGTCACCTTGTGTCACTCCACTGATTTCCTCGTCATCGCTGTACGGTTCAGGTTCCTGCTTGTCCCGTTTCTCCACACTATTTATTGAAATGTCATCAACACCCGAGAGGAGTCTGGAGAGGGCAGCCGCTGTCCGATGTGCTCCGTTCTCCTGCCCCCTTAACTTTTGCCCAAAGTAGTCCCCTTCTATCCAGAGGCTGGCTGGTTTCATGACCAAGAACTGCTGCTGGGGCCCAATCACAGAGCCGGGTCTACAGATGCGGACCCACGCGATGGTCTCGGCGGCTGTCATCCTGTAGTGCTTCATGATGTAGCAGGCTATCAGAGTGCCTGTGCGACCGAGGCCGGCTTTACAGTGCACGGCCATGGCACCCTCGGCATTCCCACAAATATCCAGAAACTCTTTGACAATGGCATCGGGTGGGGTGCTGCCGTCCGCAAAGAAAAGATCGTGGTGATCAAACCCAGCATCCGTGAAGCGCTTGGCATCATACATCCTTTTATCCAGACGAATAATGGTAGTGACATTGTGAGTCTTAAAATATGGAATGTAAGTCTCAGGAGAATGTTGGTGATAACCACTTTCAAGTCTGGATCTTGCGTGAGGCCCACGGAAGGCAACGAAGCGGTCTGGTATTATCCAGTTTAAATCTCCATTTTCTGCTCTTTCGTAGTGTTCGTACTCCTCAAGGTCAAATGTGTTGAAATTTAAGGAGCCATACTGCATTATCAGTGATGTCCAGGGACAGGTCATCCTGGAGGTCTAGGCGGTGCAGGTCCTGCGACGTGGAGCTCCGGCTCTTCTTCACGCTCCGCAAGGTCGACGAGCAGCGCCGGGAACAGAGGGGCGCGGCGGCCC